TAGAATCCCGGGTGCCTGGAGAAGGATGTACTATTTTTGATTTTAAAAATTTGAGAGAGAGAGAGGAAGCAAAAATCCTGCTTGCTGGTTCAGTCCCCAAATGCTTCCACTAGCTGAGACTGGGTTGGGCTGATGCTTGGAGCAAGGAATTCAACCCCAGTCTTCGACTTCAGCGGCAGGAGCCCAAATGCTTGACCCGGTACCTGCTGCCTGTAAGAATATGCATTAGTAGGAAGCCAGAAGAAGGGCTGGAGCCAGGACTCAACCCTAGTCCCTCTGACATGGGGAGCAGGCAACCCGACCAGTATCTTTATCATCATGCTAAGTTACTGCCTTGGGGCCTTTCATTTTTAAAGATGGAGGAGACTGAAACGAAAGGCAACAATGCTCACAATTTGAATTTTGTAATATGCTTATAAAGTCAGTTTTGTTTCCATGGAGACTGTTAAACTTATTTACTCATTCATTCTATTTCATTCATTCACTCAGCACGTTTTTTAGGATATGTCCTTGGTTAGTGCACACACCACAGTGATGAATGAGCAAGTAAGGTAATGAATACTATTGCAGGGATAAGAGGAAGACCATGAAGCATGAGATCAAGTGCAATTTCTCCGAGCAGGAGGCCACAAGTGTATAGAGAACAGAGAGGGCACCATCACATGGTGCTGTGGGGGATCCAGAAGCCCAGGATGGTTGAAGCCTCAGGTGCTATGGGACTGTGCAGCAACACAGCAGCAGGTCGGGGAGGCAGGGGACAAGTTACACAGAGTCTTACAGACAGTACTGGAGATTTGGGACTTTAAAAAATATTTGAGAGGGAGAGAGAGAGAAAGAGATCCTATCTTCTAGTTCATTCTCCAATGCCCTCAATGTTTGGGACTGAGCTAGGTCAAAGCAGCAGCTGAAAACTGAGTGTGTGTCTCTTACGCAGGTGCCAGGAACCCATTTATTTGAGCCATTACCACTGCCTCCAAGGGTGTGCGTTAACAGGAAGCTGGAGTCAGGAGCTGGACCCAGGAAGCAAACTCAGGTACTATTTTGAACAGCACATCTTTTGGGACTTTGTCTTCACCACAGGAATTCCTTGGAGGGGTCGATGCTGAAGATGACAGGACCTACCACCAGTGCTGAATCCAGCTGGCAGACCCTTACAGAATGAAAAAGGGTAAATACTCAAGTTAGGATGCTGGCTGTGAGACTGGAGAGGAAAGAAATGTATGAATTTTTTTTTTTGGAGTTTGAATAGATAGGGGAGGGGAGCTAGGTCTTAAGGAAGGTATGAGCAAGCAGATGGATGGTTGAGATAGGGTACTCTGGCAAGAAACAAGTTTGGAACAACAACAACAACAAAAATCACAGGTTAAGCTTAGAACAAGTTGAGTCAGAGGTGCCTGTGCAGTGTTCACATGGAGACATCAGTCAGCAGTTACACAGGGACAGCTGGCAGCTCAGAGGACAAGCCTGGGCCCGATGTGTAAAGGCAGGCGAGATGGAGAGTAACCATGAAATGGCCCATCACACAGAGCTGTCACAGTAACTAATAGACCTGGCTTGATGGCTGATTGCCCATTACCCCTCCCAGCTCAGACTCAACTCTCAACACAAGTTCTTCTGGACTTGTGTACCTTGCTCTCTCCAGCCCTCTCCTTGCCTACATCAGCTCTCCCAAGTCTGTAGGTCCGTTAGGGGTAAAATATGTTTTGTACTCCTAGTGTCTAAGACACATTTGAGAAGCCTACCAGGGAATGTAATGACTGATGGCTGGTGAACAGAATAGGCAAGTTAACAACGGTTGGAATCTACATAATAGCACCAACTACACAGCAGTTGACATCAATCTTTAATTTTTTGTAGCACCCATTATTAAAATTGAAAGTAATCTTTTCTTATTTATAAGAAAAAACCCCCACAATCTTATAGGAAATCACAACAAACACAGCTTACAAAGGCTAGCATGGTGATATATAGAGAATCACAATGACTCAGCAGTTCAAAAGCATTGCCCGTACTGGCTGAAGAAATGTCCTCCATGTGGTTTCTAAAGCCATGCCTCAGAGGACAACAGTCACTGGGCTGTCACACGGAACAGAAGAACATGGCTCAGCTCAAGGATCATGAAAAGCTACCTCCTACATTTCTAAAGAAGCTCTATCAATTCAATCCCTTTATTTCAACCAGCACATTCAAATGCTTTAAACTTTCGTCTGTAGAGCCAACTTCCAAAAGGCGTCCCAAGTAATCATTGCCCCAGACCCACAGCCCCTCTGTAGCCATGGGGAGAAAGAACAGGCTCCAGCTGAGGTGGTCAGTACCCCTAGGAGTTGTCTCTACTGGTTCTTAGCCAAGCAACTTGTCCATGATCCTCTTTAAAACACAGGGGAAGCAAGACACTGGAGTCTGAAGTCCCAAATAGGAAATCTGAGAACAAATGGGACAGACATTTCTCAGCCATTGCTTTGCACATTAGTATAGACACATTGGTTTTGGTTATAAGGATAGAAAATGTTTTCACAGTATAAGGTTCAGTGTGTAAATGAAGATGAGAGACAATTTATTAAACTTCTCTGTTAAAAGAAAACAGGTGTGTGTGTGTGTGTGTGTGTGTGTGTGTGTGTGTGTGTGTTGGGTGGGGAGCAGATGTTAGCCTGTGGAGTGGAGAGGGAAGACTGTTAGCCTAGAAGGGAAATATGGCGTAAGCAATAGGCGAATGGTTTTAAAATAAGCAACATACAGCAAAGACAGGAAAATAATAAAACAAGCAGGGTAGAAGCAGAAAACAACTATAAAGGGGGTTGTCTTTGCTCAAAACTAAGTAAAGTACATATTATTCATTTAGAAAGGAGCAGAATATCTGCTAGACTTTAATTGCTACTATTGTATGTAAAAGACCAGATTTGAGTATTAGAGACTATGGAGGAAGGCGTGAGGCCAGTGCAGCAGAGGGAGACTAGGTCCTGTTGGTCACGACTGCTTCCTCAGGCTCTACATTAAGACAGTCCAAGTGTCTATCAAGTATTAACCCTAACTCCATGTGGAGGAAGTCTGCTTAAAAATAATTTCCAGATTATGGAACTCTATGCAAACTGTTTACACACGTGCCCTGAATAACAATAATTTCCTGGTGAGCACACACATGAGATTGGAACCCCCTTCTCGTTATGCCAGGCTCATTCTGATGATTCTTGCCAGCTTGTGGAACAACTGTACTCTCTCCCTCTCTTAGCAGGCTACTTGTAAGGGCTGTAGCATGCAACACTCATTGTTATGAGCTGATTCCAGCCAGAGCCAAGCCAGAAAGGAGTGGATAGACTTTGGTTTCCAGCAGAGGGCAGTGCCGCACTAGATTACTTGAAACGGAGAAAACCAGCCAGCGCCATCTATGATCTGTTGCCATTTGTTACTGATATGGTTCAGTGTCACGAAATAGGTACATATGTATGTGTGTACACATATATAGAGTTAGTTAATCTTTTGAGTACTGGGAAGCTCTAACCCAATTTAAAGCCTAGAACCTTATACTTTTTTTTTTTTTAAGATTTATTTTGTTTGTATTGGAAAGTCAGATATATAGAGGAGAGACACAGAGGAAGATCTTCCAAGCGTTGATTCACTCCCCAAGCGGCCACAATGGAGGGTGCTGTGCCGATCTGAAGCCAGGAGCCAGGAGCCTCAGGTCTGCTATGTGGGTGCAGGGTTACAAGCAGTTGGGCCGTCCTTGACTGCTTTCCCAGGCCACAAGCAGGGAGCTGGATGGGAAGCAGGGCTGCTGGGATTAGATTTAGAAACTCATATGGCATCCCAGTGCATTCAAGGCGAGGACTTCAACAGCTAGGCTACTGCGCCAGGCCCAGAACCTTATACTAAATAAACATGTGGTTTATTTCTGTCTCCCTGTACCTGTGTTGGAGGGAGGGGAGGCATTCAACGCGGTTTTGCTCTCCCAGCCCTTCTGAGTGACACTCTGTGAATGGAACGACACACAATGCATGTTACATATAGCCTCAACAGGAAACATTCACAGGTGAATGTTGTTTGAAAATATTCTGAAACTTCACTAATGATGTTTTCTTATTCACCATAAGCAGTTAAGCTTTATAGTATGACCAACTTCATACGGATTCTTTCATACAGATTGTGAGCACAGTTGCTTAGCATTACTGAATTTAATTTTTGAGAACTATTGATCAGTTAATTATGAAGCAATTTCCTTCCATCTCATTCTCTCCTTGGTAAAGTAGCAACATGTTTAAGCTAGCATAGTGCTTATTTGGTATAAATTAACTTAAAATTGTTTTGGTTTATTAGACAATTAACTTAATTTGTTATTTTAATTTAATATTAGTTCAGATACTTCCATAGGTGACACAGATAAGAGTCACTCTACATTTAATCAAAATCTAGAGCCTGAATGAACTTTACTTTTAAAGATCATTGGTTAAATTTCTCTCCACTGATGTTATGCTCCTAAGAATTAAAAATACTAAACAAAACAAAAAAACACCTCTTTCTGTCCCGGTACTGCCCCTGGCAAATGTAACAGGAATGAAAAAAATGGCAATAAAGTTTTTGTTGTTTTAAAGTTTTCGTAGCCACAGTAGCAACAGTGATACATCAGGTGGTAGACATAATTAGCAATTAGGACTCCAGGAATGAGGCCCAGGGAGAGAGAAATGAGTGATTACTCCAGCCAAGCTCCTGGTTGCACTGTTGAGCTGAGTCAAAGGACCCCTTTCTCTGATGTGCTGTAATGTGGTATCTTATTTCTCACTTAAAAAAAAAAAAAAGCCTAAATAGCATTAAGATTTAATTAATAGTTCTTTTTAACAAGATTTATTTATTCACTTGAAAGGGTTACAGAGAGGGAGAGATGCCCAAGGGGGCCAAGGCTGGGCCAAGTTGAAGCCAGGAGCTTCACCGACTTCTCCAATGCAGCCCGCAGGGGATGTAGGCAGAAGTTTAACTCACTACGCCACAATTCTGGCCCAGCTGATTTTATCTTTTATTCTTTCACTGGGCAACACTTCATTCCATAAGAGTGAGTGTTCTTCTGCTTGACATTTTTCATCAAACTTGAGATGCGCATTCTACCAACATTTAGGAACAACAGCTGTGTTCGAGACATATATGACGATAAGTTCAGTTTAAAGTCAGTTTTGAGACTGAAGTCTGAGGTTGAAATCTTGGAACTAGGCCCACATAGAAGCAGTCCAGCGATGAACCAGTTTCCCCAAAGGCAGATCACCAAGGGCTTTCACTTCAGACATCCGTGAGGCTGAACTTGGGTTCCACCAAACCCGATTGGCCGCACACGAGGAACGCTTCCATGAGGAATTTTTCATTTGAAGTTCCATTGAATCTGGAATGCTAGTAATATTTCAAACTGTCCAGTGTTACTGCTGAAGCACCCCACACAGGGAATTTTGAAGGACACCTCCTTGGCAACTGTTCCAAGCCACTCAGCGTGGCCCTGTGGTTCTGAACAGAGCATGACTCCTGCTGAGCTGGGGACCGGGCTGAAGCAGAGAAGGCCGTGGGCAGCAGGAGTGGGGAGGGGATGGGGGCTGTCTCACTCCAAGTCTTCTCAGGACACCCCTTCTTCCTGCAGCACCTTTTGCACCTGTCAGTCTCAGGCAAGAAGTCTCTGAGGACACGACAAATCTCCTCCTCTCCCTATGGGGATAACGTCTGGGGGACTGGGGGCCCATCCCACCTGCTCTTCCTTCTTCCTGGTTTGGGAAGAATGGAAGCCCCAAAGTAGGAGGAGGAGGAGGGAGGGGGTTGAGGACAGGGAACAGAAGGAGTTTTCCCCCTCTCTCCTCCTCTCCCTCTCCTCAGCCACCAACTCCATCACCACGTCCATGGTGGTCACAGACTGAGCTGCCCTGCGTTCTGCTGGTGTGACATGTCTGCCTGGATGGAGATGGGGGAGGGAAGGAACTTTCCGGAAGCACCTAGGTGGGCAGTAACTAAGATTTTTTTTGGCCTAGGACCTGCTTCTTACATCCCTGGGGTGGCAGGATACAAGGGGGTATGGCCGCTGAATAGCACTGGGGGTCTGGTACTACAAAATTTGCCAAATAATCACAATGCACACGGTTACTATTTCCCTCAAGTGTCAAAAGCCTTCCAACATTTTGTTCACAATGAACTGAGGACAGTGAGTGAGAGCAGGTCATAGGCAGCTTAGTGAGCTGTGACCTATCCAATTAAGGTCACAGAAGACAAAAACGCCCCAAACAGATCCCATATGGTGCCTGGAACATGACTGACAATGCCTGTTCAGAAGTTGCCACAGTGAACGCCAACTGGCCAAGAAATTTATTTCTAAAGATCAATACACTTTATTTTGGCTGCTGGTTAAGTACTTTTGATGACAGACTAGATCAGCCAATGAAAGATGACGTGGGTGTGATTAATGCCAAATCATAAGTGATGAGTAAGCTTCTAGTAGATTTTACTACTTTACAGTTTATATTTGGTGGCAACGTTGACTGAATTGAGCTAATTCTTAGGGTTCTTATGGTTACTTCATATTTAATCAGGGTTGGTCATTGGCTTCCCTTATTTTAATCAAGGCCTTGCGCAGAATCTCCAAGTGCCACACTCTTCTAAGCTCACAGCTAAAATCATATAATATTTCATGAAAGTATCACCAAAAGCAAGGCTTTGCTTCTTTTTCCTCAAAGAACATAGAAAATCTTGCCTTTATAATAACAAACTCTCCTATGCCCACTTTTTCTCTTTCTCTAAAACTATTAAATAAGAGCATTAGATATTTTTAAAATAAATTTCTCATTTTGCTTAAAAGTGTTTAAAATTAGGATTTCAATACATACCTTCCTTCCTAGTATCCACAATAAGACTCTCCTAGCTCGATATTGACGAGGTCGCTGGGTGGTGCTATTGGGTCATGTTGTAGCTGGGATAGTAAGTGCTAGAAGCAGTGGACAGGTGATCATTATTTACCGATTAACTGAGTTTCAGGGGGTGAAATACTTAGCCACATATAGAAATAGAAATTAAATATTAAATAATAAAAGGATGAGTAACAAAAGGGCATTTGCAATACTCTGTCAAACATCATTCCCTTGACCTACTAATTTCCAAATCCATTGTCCAAGTAACCATCACTTCTTGTGCTTCTTTTAAAGATATTTGAGCAAGTGACATTGTTGCTACTTCACAAATTATAAACATTATTTGGATTAAAAAGATGGCAGTGCCATTCTGTAAGATGATGTCATATCATGCAGCATCCTTTTGAATTCACTTGAAGATGACAAAAAAGTAACAGGCTAACGAAACAGGGTAACTTCTCATTGCTATTTTCTTCAGTGGGAAAGCCACTGGTCACTATGGATCTTGGTGTGATGGCGATTGTATGCTCAGCATCATCAACAACTCAGGTCCCATGGAAAACTTCAGCAGTATTTAAGGGAGAGGACACCTCCATTTTCATTGTTGTATGAATCCATTCTGATTGCAGACTTCAGCTGCTACAGGAACTTTAAAAAAAATTTTTTTTCCCAATTCCAGATTCAAATATTAAATTAAAACACATGTGCAAAATCCAAGAAACATACATCCACCACCAAAACAAAACCTACCCTTCCACAAAAAACATCAGCTTTGGGGAAAACCAACATCCATGGCAACAGGTCCTTATCTTACACTCAAAAAAAAAAAAAAACCAAAAAAAACCAGATTTCACATTCCTCTTTGACCTGGGGTTGTTTCAGCATCTGAAAAGGCCAATGAAGGAAGAAGAGGGATCTAGAAGTGCCTGGGATGGTCTCCTCGTTCCCGCTTGGGCCACTCCTCGTCCACCCACCTGCGCAGAACCTTCTCCACGTCGGCCCTGTGGTAGAGCCTGCAGAGATCCATCAGCTGGCCCACCGTCCTCTGACTGTTCCGGAGCAAGAACTCCAAGGTGGGGCTCTGTGGCCGCTGCTCCAGGAAACACAATTCATCATAAGGCATGCCCCATTTGCTTGCAAAATTCCTCCAGTTTTTCACTGTTGGGTGACATGGATCTAGCTTTATCCTGATCACATCTAGTACATCCTGATCATTAAGTAAGTCACTGATAGTGGGGGCCCGATGTGAGCAGGAGGAACAAGTACAGTTTTCATGACAGGACTTGTCGTTGCTGACATCTGCAGGGGAAAAAAAAAAAAGTACAACCCACGTGTCAACAAGACACCCCACAAATGCATTCATTTCTGATGGCCTGGGTTTTCCTGCCAAAATTGTCAGTATTATCAGTCCAAGTGTAACAGCCTACCTTGTAGAGAAAACACTCAGAACAGACAATAATATGTTACTCTTTATAGCTAACGATGGCTTGTGTTGTGGGAAGCAGTAGCAGAATTTTTATAAAGCCATTTTCTCTTTCTGAGACTGTGCCTTACAGCATGTAACAGCTAGAATGAGGGTTCCAAGCAATGAAGCCCCATCTGTGAGCAGATCGCCAGTGTAGATGGGACCAGACTCGGCAGAGTTTATAAGTAACTCAACCTTACATATACCCTTAATCCTTGCCCCTTCCCAGGTGCCAGTCAACCCTGATGGCTTTTATTTAAAGTTTTCATTCCACAAATGTTTCCAACAGCCAGTCCTGGCCAGGCCAAACTCAGGAGTCAGGAACTCTATCTAGATCTTTCACAAGAATGGTAAGAACCCAAGTCCTTGGGCCATCACCATCTACTTCCCTAGCACAACAGAAGGAAGCAGAGGAGCCAGCTCTTTGATATGCTAAGCAGGCATATGCTACGCTATATGATATGCTATGCACTGCTTAAGTTGCTTAACCTATTGCACCATGACACCTACCACCTGAAAGCTGTTTAACACCAAACACAATGTGTCAGGGTGTAAGTGATTGCACAATTTTTTAAAAAGCTCCTTAAAAAAAAAAAGCCCTGAAAACTGGGATATTCATGCCATGTGCATATTTGAAAGGAGTGATAATTGATAGTGCCAGAAAACTTTCTTTTAAAATTTATGGCCATGTTATCATCCCTCTGCCTTTATCTGTGTTTTCTTCACCCACAGGTTCCCTTTGAAGTGGAGCCAACACCCTGGGGTATGTGCAGTGAGGACGGCAGCAGACTTCTGAGCTTTGCCTCTCCATGGTGAGCACACTCCTTCCCAGGGGGAGGACAGCCTCTGACAGCCAGTCATCTTTTGCCCCATTTTACTGCTTGGAGGCATGCATGTTAGGGAGAAGGATGAAGTTAGTAGGTAAGAGGTATTGGCAAATCATTTAAAATAAAGTATTATGCAGTATCTATACATGGTAAGTGAAGGAGCATAAATTCTGCAACCATACTGAATCTCACGCACCTTCTGAATTTGGATTTTTAAAACTAACACTTATTTATTTGAAAAGCAGAGAGGTAAAGAAAGAGGGGGGCGGCACAAAAAGACATACAGAGATATCTCCCATTCATTTCCCAAATGCCTACAACAGCTAGGGCTGAGCCAGGTCATAGCTTCAGGCTGAGAACTCAGTCCAAGTCTCCTCCAGGGGTGGGAGAGACCCACCACCTGACCCACCACCTGACGCCTCTGAGGGTGTGCACTGGCAGGAAGTTGGAATCAGGAGTAGAGTGGGAACTGGAACCTACGTACTCCAATATAGAATGTTCTCTTTCAACCACTGGCGTCTTTGACTTATACGTTTGAACTATAATTAGGCCAAATGACTGCTGTTGAATTTAGATTTTAGCACCTAAAGACATTACTGGCTGGGAAAATTCCAGAGGAAGCTGTGATGACCTTTACTGTATATGGCATTATGTTGAGTTATAGCCTTTTGGTTGAGGAAAATAAAGAATTTGGCTGGAGGTCAGTTTGTGGCACAGAAGGTTAAGTTACGGCCTATAATGCCAGCAGCCCATGTGAGCACCAGTTGGAGTCCTACATGCTCCACTTCCAACCCAGCTCCCAGCTAATAGACTTGGAATAACAGGAGAAGATGGCCCAAGTTCCTGGGGTCCTGCATACATATGGGAGACCCTGATGGAGTTCTGGGCTCCTGGCTTTGGCATGGCCCACACCTGGCTGCTGAAGCTATCTGGAGGGTTAACCAGCAGATGGATGCTCTCTGTCTCTCTCCCTTCCTCTCTCTGTTACTATATCTTTTAAATAAATAAATAAATAAATATTTTTCTTCATCTTTTTCTTAAATGATTGGAGAGAAGAAATCACATTGGCTATGCTGAGTTTAGGAACCGGCAATTGTGTGGCAAGGCTAAATGAAAAGGCAATACATAAAAGCAGTAAAAAATTGTTCTCATCTCTTTGACCTATAAATGTGATGTCTGGGAATGTGTCCTGAAGAGATAACCCAGAGTATGTATCTATATGACCACTTTTAGTGTAGCATTATTTTCAATATCATTTTAAAAATCAGATGCTTAGAGTAGGGAGACTAATGAAACAAATTAGTGCGCTACTTCTAGAAAGATGCAGATCACAGCACAATCTAGAAAATGCCTGCCTAGAAGTAAAAAAATATAAGATGTAAAGAATATATTCATATATTGGGCCTGGCACCTTTAATGCCTCACCCCATTCTTCTTCATCATCTTCTTTTGTTTTGAGTACCATCTGACCCTGCCTAATTCCCACCAACACTTACAGAGACTTAACCTGGCTCTCCACAGCCTAAATGCTTGCCGGAGTCCAGTTATGACTGAGTGGAAATATACCCACCAGGGAAGCAGCTCCCCATCCACCTCAGAGGATCCCCTTGGACTCTTTGTTGTGGCTAGTATTGCCCCAGCATTAGGCTCCCTCTGGAGTGAGCCCAAGACTTCTCTGCCCTTTTGGATATTGAATACTGTACTGCAAGTTACAGCCTCCCAGACGGTTTCTTTTCCCAGCCAAGCACTCTCAGGTTTTCACTACATCCATGCCCTTGTCTGTCTGGCATGCTGAGATCCAAGCTCTAGCTCAGCCAAGACCGAGGGGGTGGGAGTGGGTGATGCAGTTCCAGCATCAGCCCTCAGGCTTCCCCCTCCACATTTTCTCCATTTGGGCATCTCCACTCCAGCAGTTCTAAGACTCTTTCACTAGAATGGAGGGCCCTTTCTTTTTCATGTGCAGGACTCAACACAGCCTCTGGCATACAGTAAATGCTTTATCAATGTTTACTGAATGAGTAAATAAGTTCATTAGTGGATAAACGAATGGTTAGTCCTTCAACTCTTATGGGCTCTGTAACTACTGGAAGTCCTTCTATTTAAAACATTTAGTTACATTGATTTGAGATCTAGAGACATATACTTACAGAGAGAGGGGAAAAGGGAGAGAGAGGAGAGAGAGAAAGACGCAGATATGGGCTGGACCAAAGATGGGAGCCAGGAACTCAATAAAGCCACAGTGGGAGGCAAGAATACAATTACCTGAACCATCACTATTGCCTTCCAGGGTCTGCATTGGGAGGAAGCTGCAACTAGGAGCCTGTGGTGGACACTGATCCCAGGTACTCTCACATGGGGGTATAGGCTTATCTATTAACCAGCAAGGCCCAAGACTCATTTATTTATGTCTAGATGACATAGCCAACTCAGTCAATCTAAACTTAAAACGGTTCACCCTATACACCATAAATACTTGGTCTTTCCTATTTGCATGTCTGCTTTCCTGCAATTATTTGATTATTTTTCTCACTGGGTCTGTCCATTTCCCACCTAGTCTTTCACATCAAGTTCTCCTTGCTTTGCTTCTATTTTATTTCCCACGACTTCCATAAACAGAACCTCAGCTGCAGCCACACTGAACTTCTCAATCCCGTGCATTTTATCTTTCAAAACTGAATTAACTTTAAAGCATACCAATTAATCTCAGTGTTATCAAATCTGGCAAATATATATAATTACAGGTTTTGGAAAAACTACCAGAGTGTTGACACAATGCAGGCCTTTCATATAAATTTTAGTTATTATGGGATGATTAGCCCAAAAGTCTGAGAAGACTGGGGCTATGGATGATCAGTTTCCAGAAAGAGAGGTTGACTCAATTCACACCATCAGTGTCATCACCTGCATCCCACATCAAGTGCCCAAGTTCAAGTCCTGCCTTCACTTCTGAGCCAGCTTCTTGAAAATGCACACCCAGAGAGGTGATCGCTCAAGTTGTTGGTTCCCTGCTCCCCTCACGGGAACTTGTTCCTAGCTCCTGGTTTCAGCCCGGCTCAGCCTCAGCTATTGTGGGCACTTGGGGAGTGAATAAATGAATGGGAGCTCTCTCTCAAAATAATAATAATGTTAAATAATATATATTGAACATCATAGAAAAATAAAGATTTAAGCCTTTATGCCCAGACTTAACATGTAATGTTGTCAAGAGCTGTTTTTAGATTGATCTTTATAAAATCCATTTTTAGCTTCAAAAAGGTTAGTAAAGAATGTTATTAAGGTTTTCATGATGTCCCTTTAAACCTACTTCTTTGAATAATTACATTGAACATTATTAGTTTATTTTAAAATAAATGAGGTGCTACCATGTCTACTGAAATTTTCTTTTTTGCATTTTCAATTACATGAATGACAAAGCATTTACTGAACTGGAATCCACATGAACAGCCTACATGAGTGAATTTAAAGCTGTCTTTTAAAAACCACAAACTATAATTACCTCCCTGGAGGACCTAAACAGGGGAAACAAGTTTTTCCTCCTATCAAATACATTCTACTCCACCATACTTTAAACACCTATCATGTAACAGTGTACATGAAAGTATAGCCTGGGTGATGCCTTGGGGAAGGAAGAGAAAGACTTAGGACCAAAGAAGTCTTCATCAGAAACAGGGAGAAATAAGATCAGTATTTGATGTCTCTCAAATGACAAGCACTGGGAGCTATATAGTAGAAATTCTCAGAATTGTTTTCTAAAGAAACAAATTAATAACTATTCTCCTTGAGAGAGAAGGCAGTTTTGCTATTGTTAGTTATTTGGAGAATTTCAGAAACGGGAGACAGAATTATAGTAAAAACACAGCTGGTATTGGCTGGCAGTAAATGGATGCTGGTGGAAAACTGTACAGAACTGATCTTAACATACAAAAAGGGAGTTGATTCCAGATGGGGCCGGGGAAGAAAGGACAAAACTCTGGTAGGATATGTTCTCTGTAAGTCTTCCTTAAGCA